ATGTAAGGAAATAGAAAGGAGTGTTATCTTGTGATGCATCTGCTCTATGTGAGGCCTCTGCACAGGCTCCAGGCAATAGAAGCCTGGCTTTACTTAGCAAAGGAGAAAGTCCAAAATACTCTGACTTAGAATGCTGAGAGCAATCTGGAGATTTAAAGTCCTCAAGGCTATCACCCAGATAACCCGCATCAGAGTCTCAGGGTGCTTCTTCCTAAGCAAGCCCCTGACTTTACCTTAAGAAACCTGCTGGGCTCTGAAGCCAATCTTCTTTACAGATCTGCTTAGTTTACCATCGAATCTGAGCCTTGTTTTTCAGCTAACTCTCCTTGCTTCCTACAAAACTGATGTTACGGAAAGGTGCCTGGTTTTCAGCTCGTGCTGGTTTCCTGAAATAATGGTATTTTCTTCCTTTGTGGTTTCTATATCCGTTAACAGGAATCAACCCAGCTCTGTAGGTCTCAGAGTGACCATTACTCCCTCCCTCCACCCCATACATTTCTGTTAACATCTGCCCAACGTACTTTCTTCCATCTGAACACTATGCCAGTAATGATGAGGCTGCAGCATGCCCATTTGTTGATGAAAACTGAGTCCTTGTTGCCATCTGGTCTTTGTTGACCAGCCTGTTATCCAATCAATTCTAGAGCCTCGTTCTGAGAGTCTCCCTCCTTAGATCTACAAACTTAGGCTGGGTTCTTTAACACTAAGCATGAGAGTATAAGTAGCATATGTAGACTCTGTAAAATGTGGTACTGGGGAGAAATGGGGAGGAGTGAAGAGGTGAGGCAGAGAAGGGGAGAGCCAATACAAACTTCTATAACAGCCTGCGTACCACTGAGAACAGGTGAGGATCAATCCAGGCCACAAGGAACCTCCTGGAGACCTGTGGCACAGACCTCAGAGTCCTCAACGGTGGGAGGGAAGCTGGCATGTTTGCACTGCAACTCCCATTTGTTTCCAGCAAGGTACCACCCCATGAACAGATCGAGGCCCCAAAGTCACAGATGAGAGTAAAACTAGCGTGGACCAAATCATTCCAGCATGCCTAGGGCACTGGAGGCTGTCACCTGTAGACCGCCAGGACTTCCTGTCACAAATAGCACAGGCACTTCTCAGTCTTAGTCACTGTTCTGCTGCTGCGAAGAGACAACATGACCAAGGCAATACTTACAAAAGAAAGAATTTAATTGGGAGCTTGCATACAGTTTCAGATGTTCAGTCCATTATCATCATGGCAGGATCACAGTGGTGTGCAGGCAGACATGGTGCTGGAGCAGAAGCTAAGAGCTACATCCTGATCCACTGGCAGAGAGAGAGAGAGAGAGAGAGAGAGAGAGAGAGAGAGAGAGAGAGAGAGAGAGAAAGAGATGGGGGTGCTGGCATCCTGGCATGTGCTTTTGAAACCTCAAAGCCCATCCCCAGTGACACACCTCCACCAACAAGGCCACACCTCCTAATCCTTCTAATCCTTTCAAATAATTCCACTTCCTGGTGACTAAGCATTGACCGTTCTTATTCAAACCACCACTCCCACCGGCCCTTCACCCTTCCCCCCTCAGCCACTTCCCTCTGCCCCATAGTCGTGCTTCCACTTGACATTCTATTGTGTTTGTTTATTTACTCAAACTTCTCACCACCACTAGAATACAGGCCAGAGACTTCATCTGGCTCGTTATTCTACCATAAGAAAGAACATCAGACAGGTCCCCCCACCCCTCCCCCACCCCCGGCTTATTTCACTTAACACAATTATTTTGAGGGGATTTTCCTCCTCTAATGTTAACAGTTAGTTCTTGTTCCGATTTTCACTGTGTGACTATGGCACGATTTTTTTTCTTTTAATCTATGTGTCTATTGATGGATATTTGAGTTATTCTCAGTCAGGGCCTATCACAAATCAAACCACTGTGAGCATTTAGAGATGAGTTTCTGTCTTGTTTTGTTTCCATTTCGCTTGGGAAGATACCCAAAGGTTGAGGGGCTGGGTTGTATGTTTAATTTTCTAAAAACTGGTTCATCTATAGAACATCATTTCCTGTCCCATCTTGCACTCCCACCCGCCATCCATGACAGCGCAGGTCCTCCACAGCCTCACCAAGCTCTACTATGGTCTATCTTTTTTGTTTGTTTCTTTTGTTTTTCAAGACAGGGTTTTTCTGTATAACAAACAGCTCTGGCTGTCCTTGAACTCACCCTGTAGACCAGTCTGGCCTTAAACTCACATAGATCCTCCTGCCTCTGCCTTGAGTGAGGGGATTAAGGGCGTGAGCCACCACCGCAGGATGGGGTCTTTTTAATATTATCTATCCCATCAGGCATCTCATTGTAATTTTAATTTGCATTTTAATTTAAAGCCCTACCCTTTTTTTTTTTGTTATAGCAATGGTTTTTTGTATCTGAGAAATCTTTGCAAAAGACAGTCACTAAGATAGCTGCCCCCCTCCCCCATTTTCCTCTAGAAATGTTTTGCTTTTAGCTCTTACATTTAGGCTCATGATCAAATGTAAATTAATTTTTTAATGCAAAGGCCAAGACTCGTCGCTGCTCTTTTTCCTTTTGAATCAAAGTTGGAGTTTATTAAGAAAAGTAACATATTTAGGTGCAGGCTTCACGCATATACAAGAAAACAGCAATTGTATGCACCCAAGGCTGTGTGAGGCTTCTTAAGAAAAAGAGCCATCATTTAAAAGCGTGTGCCACTACCCTGGCAAGAGGTATGAATCTTAAACACCAGCAACAATACATTTCACGTTTTAGATGTCTTCCTGTGAAAGAACTCAAAACATTTTTAAATGCGCTTTAGAAACCAAAAGGGATAAAATAAAGGATTTTCATCAGCTCTCCCTTGCCTCCTGAATTAAACAGAGGCATGTCACAAAAGAATCTACTCACCGCTTTTCATCATTCTCGTCTACCGCTGCCTTATGCACCCCAGATCCATGGGCCTGCCCAGCGCTTACAGAGCAGCATCCTGAACTGCCATGTCCCTCCATGGTCTCACCTTGTGAAATGTTGAGACGGCTCCTTTGCATCCCAGCTCCCTTCTCCCTTAGCCATCTCCAATAGGCACAAGTCCTACTGGTCATTTGGGGCTTTTCTGCAAGTCCGGCCAACCACTCCCCAATAACTAGGTATATCCATCCCTCTCACCCGCTAGGTCCTCCCTGTGGACTCCTTTTCTGCATCCTTGGAACTCCTTTCAGGAGCCAAGTGAGGCACTTGCTGGAGGAGGAGATTTTAGGTTGGGAGCTAGGGCAATGGGATGTGCCTGTAGTTCCAGCTACTGAAAAGGCTAAGACAAGAGGATCACTTGAGCTCAGAATTTATGGTCAGCTTGAGCAATAGTGACATTCCTTTCCAAATATATAATTTATATATATATATATATATATATATATATATATATATATAT